AATTCTAAAGGCAAATGTGCAACAAGAATTTTATAACTTCTGTGTATTTGTATATGCACTGACAAGGAAATGTGGAGATAAAATTAAATGGATCTTCTTGATGCTGGAGGAAAATTGCAGAATGCATTATATGGCCTACTGAGATTTTGTTTTTGCCAAAACTGTCTAAAATATTTCGTAGACAGCTCTTAGTTTTTACTTGGGGTTTTGAAAGACCAATTAAAAGAAGGATTACCCACTGCTGTGTTGTAAATATTTTATATTTTTCTATTTCCTCAAAACATACCAACAAAGAAGCAGCTTAGACTGTTAGATATTGGTTGATAAAGCATTTCTATTTTGTATTTGTTCAAATATTACAGTAAAATAACATATACAGGTGATTAAGTCACTTGAAAATGCATGTGCACAACTTACTCGTTGTCTAAATGAGGGGGGAAGGGAAATAAAAATTCTTTTTTTTTAAGAATAAGACATTGAACAATATAAAACACAAGAGCCAGGGAAGTTTTCAACACTGCCATTACCACTGCAGTCATTACTGTTAGTAATAAACAAGCAGAAATCAGTCCCTCTTTATTTATATCACACTATTGAATCTCATTTTGCTGATGGGTGTATTTTTCAGTATCTCACCAAGGGTATTCTGTATCTGTATTTTGAAACAAATTTGTAAAAAACCCCAAAGGCACTTTTAAATATGTGGCAAACTTCAAACATTCCTAAACCATGGACTCTTGTGAGGCTGGCAGAATACTGCTGGTGTAGCCCTGTCAGATATCTAACCACCAACTACCAATAACTGAGCCATCAGTTTGATATGCATGGAGCCTTAGTTGCTGTTGTTTCATATTACGTTTATATGTAATAATTGCGTATGAATTTTCATTGTAAGGGGTATTTTATTTTTTAGTAGTTTGAGAGGGAAATGGAAATATTTCTTTCATCAAAGAGGCAGGGTTTTTTAGTGAAAAAAATAATTTTTTCAGAAGAGTTTTCCCATTTATTGCCCAATAAATAGGGACCTGATGTGAGGATCAAAAAGCCTGTAATTTGCTGTCTTGTAACAAGAATAATAAAAAAAAAAATCACAGTTTATTATACTTGGCTAATAGAAACTGAAGTATAGCTGGTAATTACAAATATTAATCTGAGTATGTCTTGTTGCTCAGATTTCAAATTGGGATGCTGAATAATAAATATGTGTTTTGTCTTTTTAATGGAATGTTGGAGATGTAATTTTGTGACTAGAAAGGCCTCTGAAACAAAAATAAGAATTTACTTACCAGTAAATTTACAAAATAAGAGAACCTAAGTAGAGACTGTCATTGTTGGAGTTAAGCCTTTCAGAAACTTAGCATAAACTATGATATTAAACACAACTCAGAATTTTGCTCAGATTACTTGAATTGAATACAGGTTTGGATGTTATAAAGAGTTTTATGTCTTTCTGTACTAAGAATTTTTGTCAACATACACAGTTGCAGTTGGACTAGATTGTAGGTTCCTTCCAACAGGGCAAGCTGCCCTGTTATTTTATAAAGCATTATTATTTACAACTGACAGATCAGTTGACTTGAGTTGTAATTCCCTATAAACAGTATTTCTGTCCTCCAAAACTACTACCAAAAGCACATGTGTTTCAATTTTCTTTGGTTACAATTTAATTGCTTTTATACAGCTGTATCTTGGACCTAAAGTAGCTCTATATAATGTGTTCTGCATCTTGAAAAGTAGCTTTTGGTTCAGTCGGGCATCGTTGTGTCCCATCGGATGGAGTGTGCTTGCTAAGCCTGTAGTTGCTTCAGAGAAGTAAAATACATCTGATTCCTATGTTTTCTACTTTTACCAGGATCCGTGTAGTATAACTGGCTCCCTCCCAAGTCACTCGTTGCCATCTGAGCCATGTTACTGCCAATAGATGCAGAGCAGTGTGTTCAAAATAATGACTAGCAGGAGTGCAGCCCTCAGCAGTTTTCCCTCCTAGCAGCTAGACTGCAGCTGGAAATGGTGTTCCAAAAAGCAGATGGATGACAAGAGAGCCTCAGGAATCTGTTAGTTTGACCCCAGATCTGACAACTCTAGCTTATTTTTCTGGTTTACAGTATGCCCTTACAAAAGAAAACAAAACAAACAATCCTGAAATACCTGGAGACTTTCACTACACCAAGGGATATTTGACCAAAGTGATTTATGGTTATTTTGGAAAAACTTCAGAGCTGTGCAGAAACAAGGATTCGCAAGGGAAGTACCTTAAAGCCAGAGTAAACAAAACAACCAGAATATACTTGTTTAGGATGCTTATATTTCTAGGGTTCGAGAGGAAAAAATGTATTTAAAAAAAAAAAAAAAGAAGACAGACAAATCTGTGTATGACAGAGTACTTGAACTAAAATTCAGCTTTTCCCAATAAGCCTGTTGCTGATGGAAGCCTTGTTGAAGTTGCAGGCCAGTACCTGCTCAGTTGTACTGCCCAGGACTTGCATTTTCTGTGTGACTTGGCTGTGCCAGAGAGCGCCCTTTTTTGTAGATGCTGTTATGCCAACAATTTTGGGCTCTTTTTGGTACAGCTTGTTTTACCTGCTCTGCTTTCTCTACAATCCACTAGCCCAGAAGCATCAGCGAAAATGGTTTTGCCAGTATCGATTGCAGCTACTCTAAAGGCTGTTGAGTGATGTATTTATTGTCAGAGTGCGTCAAGTGTTGAAGGGCCCTGAGCCAACAGTAATTATGCATTTTTCACAGTAATGTCATATTATAGAAATAGTCTGCTCTTCTGAGGTAGTAAAGCAGCACAGGTTTAACAGATGTGTTTGGTAAACCCCCCAAATCAGACTTACTATAAACGTGCAATAGATCCATTTATTAGGCAGGGGAAAGTATACTGCCTATGTCCCTCTTAACTACCCTAGTTGCGAAGTTTTGACATAGCTAATCCGGTCCTTTTTAATGACATCTATGATGTTACTTCCCCGCAGTCCCCAGCTGCTGTTGCGAAGCATAGTGTTAACCTTGAGACAGAGAAGGCAGGAACGTTTTAATCAAAGCCTCAATAAAAAATTGTGAAGAGTGTCCATTCCTAGGGCGGATTTCGTTTAGTGTGATCCTTCCTTTCTCTCAGTTCTTCAGTGGTACTTGTTGCAGATAGTCGCCTATGTGTATTTTTTTCAGAGGTTTCTTTTTACGCTGGTGCCATGCATTGTGTGGCTTCCATTGTTTCCCAGTGGACATCGCTTACCCTATAAATGTACTTAAGGTGATTTTTTGTATTATTATTTTCATAGTTTCATATTCATTTAACGATTTTTTTTTTTTCTTACTACCATATGCAGGCTTTGTTCAGCCTTGTAGTACAAGTGCAGGTGGAAATACAATTTGGCAGGAGGCGTTCAGCACAGTTTATTTTGTAAATGAAAGAAAGCTCTACTGAGAAAGACGAACAAAAAACTAATTTACAAATCTTGGGGAAGTTGACCGCGTGGAAGAGTTCATGGATATTACCTGTATTTGGAACAATGCAATGGACATTTTCATTATTTGAAATATTTGTCAACTTGTGCTTCAATAAGGAAGCTCTTCTTTTCTTATATATTGGAGGATGATACTGAAAAAATATACAGCATAAAATTTTCATGCATGACAATTTTCTATGCAGGTGAATAGCTGTTTTCTTCTAGATCATTTGTATAGTGTCCATTTCTGCACAAACAAAGATAGATGCCAAACAAAAGCTTATGTATTTCACTAACACAACTTAGTAAGTGTAGAAGGAGTAGGTAAGAAGGAGGGAAACTGAAGGAAAATTTGACTGCACTTCAGATATGGAAAAGAGCCAGGATTTGTTAGGAATATACCTTGCAAACTGCATGACTGTGGTCATTACCATCAATTTTACTCTTAAAGAGTTTTTATGGGAGGAGTTAATTTAGTTCTAAATTTAGGTGGATTGGTATCTGATCAGGATCAGTATCAGGAAATTAGTAGGGAATACAAAATTCATTATTATGATGAATGTTTCTGGAAGTATTTGATATTACAGTTGACTTTAATTCTGTATCATACTGTTCCAAATCTGTTGTGATTTTTGAGTTCTTAGGCTGCTCCTTTTGTTTTTCTTGCTCAAAAATTTTCATACTTAGAAGAAAAATTCTGTAAAGCCTATGGTTTTATCTGCATCCTTTTGAAAGATAGTAATTTTCTAATTTATCATCCTGAGTGTGCATGTGCAGCTCCTGTGCTGAGTTGTACAATCCATGCTAAAGTTCAAACTGAAGCATTTTTGTAGTTTACTGATGCCTAAATGTGCCTGTATGTGTTCCAGTCACCTCCAGTAGATATGTTGTGTGCCTTGGAGATCAATCAAAAGTAGAAAGTTCCATGTGCTGATCATGGTGCAGAATGTGCAGGAGTAAATAGCTATTCTGTATCTTTCTCATAAAGATCAATGGAAAATATGTTTAATAAAGTAGAGATGACTCATAAAATATGGTAAGGAACTGGAAACTTTTAATTTCGTGAGTTGCTTTCTTGTATTAATAAGCCAGTACTAATAGTCTTCCTAAGGCATGAACTACTGAATACTCAGAAGAGATTCAGATGTAGAAAATTACAGTGAAATTCAAGTCCTTATTTTCATCAAATTTCCCATCTTTTTTTTTTTTTATGGTGTTTAAATCTGAGCACTTGTGCAACTACAGCCTTATTGTCAAGACTGCTCAAATACTTCTATTTATTGTCTGCTTTTCATTTACGTTGTTTTGCATTATCTTCCATTTCCCTGTCTGCAGTTTACTATAGACAGTGTCTTTAAACGTTTTCATTGTTTTAGTCCTGTGTGAGGAAATCTGAACTATTATGTGGTTAATCTTCTCAAACAGATGCATTAGTTTCCTTGAACTTCCCAGTTTTGTAGTTTGAAATAATCAAGGTTATTTTTACTCACATGTGTATGTTCTACATAGCTTACTTAGCAGATAAGTTCATCATTCTTCTGTTTGCAGGAAATGAATGGAGTTCTAAAGAACATGCTTTCAGAGTGGTTCTCGACAGGATTCCTAAACTTGGAACGGGTCACCTGGCAATCACCTTGTGAAGTACTCCAGAAAATTAGTGAGTAAGTGCTAAAATTTGCTAACACTTGTTGATGAGAAGGTGATGAAACTTTTGTGACTGCACAGGTCCACTATTTTCAAGATACTGCTTTTCAATACTGAACCATAGGCAAAATAAATTAAGGAATTAACACACTAAAAAGCACACTTTAAAAACTGAATTAAGTAAATGGTAAAGGGGTCCATTTGCCCAATGATTTGATCCTTTAGCTCATATACTGCACTTGTAGACTGCTGCGTTTTCTCCCAGACTTATCAGTTACTCTTCCCACATTCCCAGAGGTGCTGCTGTTAATTTTTATACAAACCCAGATTCTTGCAGCACTGCCTTCTCGCACTCCCTTTCCTCCCAGAGGTGCTGCTGCCGGCTCCATCACCATTGCCACCTTCGCCTCTCGGTCTACACCAGCAGCGTTGGTGGAGAATTAGTATTTAAGTGTGATGCAGCATGCAGTGCCCAGCACTCAAGAGCATTTTACTTCTACTGTAGTGAGGCTCCCCTTCCTGGCTGGAATTGGTGAGATGCACAGATCACAGAATGGTTTAGATTCGAAGGGAGCTTAAAGACCATCTAGTTCCAACCCCCCTGCTATGGGCAGGGACACCTCCCACTAGACCAGGTTGCTCCAAGCCCCATCCAACTTGGCCTTGAACACCTCTGGGGATGGGGCATCTACAGCTTCTCTGGGCAACCCAGGCCAGTGTCTCGCCACCCTCACAGTAAAGAATTTCTTCTATCTAATCTAAATCTCCCCTCTTTCAGTTTAAAACCCTTCACCCTCATCCTATTGCTACACTCCCTGATCGAGTCCCTCTCTGGCTTTCCTGAAGGCCCCCGTTACGTACTGGAAGGGGCTATAAGGTCTCCCCAGAGCCTTCTCTTCTCCAGGCTGAACAACCCCGACTCTCTCAGTCTGTCTTTACAGGAGAGGTGCTCCAGCCCCCTGGTCATCTTCGTGGCCCTCCTCTGGCCCCGCTCCAACAGGTCCATGTCCTTCTTATGTTGGGGGCCCCAGAGCTGGATGCAGTACGCAAGGTGGGGTCTCAGGAGAGCAGAATAGAGGGGGAGAATCCCCTCCCTCAACCTGCTGGCCACGCTTCTTTGATGCAGCCCAGGATGTAGTTGGCTTTCTAGGCTGCGAGCGCACATTGCCGGGTCATGTTGAGCTTGTATCACTTGTAATCTGTATGTAAAGAGAGCACCTTGTTTTTTATAAACATTCCTTAAAATCTCAAACATTTATTTCTGAATTTCTGTCAAATATTTAAAATTGTAGTGATGAAGTTGAAGGTGACTGAATCAAAGTTACGTTGTATGGCATTTTGTCATATAAAAAGCCTGAAGAGAAGAGATCTTACACAAGCTAAATTTTCAAAATAAAAATAATCAGTAATATTTTGCTTAATCTTTAACGTATTTTGGCAAACACACTAGACTTTTAATAGGTAACAGAGAAAAGAATATTTTGAATGATTGGTTGAAGACATGGCTGTGGGATTGCTAACAGACTACTTCATAGCTTGGGAAAACTAGTTCCTTAGAAGTATATCCAGAGTCATTCAATGGCTTAGTCATATCAGTCGGATATCCTACACTGAACAGAAAGTGCAAGGAAATCTCAGATACATAATAAGCGTATCCCAGAGAATACTATAGAGAGTGGGTATGCAATACACCTTTGCAGTCTACTTTGTCACAGTTTGCTGATGAATTTTACTGTTCTCACAGCCGGATTCTCCCCTTTTGATTGGAGACTTTTGTCACTGACATCAATGGGAAAAGTCCTGAGCTTGTACGGTTGGCAGCTGACCTCTATCTTTAAATGAAAAAAATATATAATTTTACTTTTATTTTATTTTCTCATTGAGTTCTGAAGCTGTGCATCCTGTTAGAAACTGGGTTGATATGAAGCGTCGAGTTGGGTCATATAGAAGATGCTACTTTTTTTCTCACTGTGCAATCCCAGGAGAACCGTTGATAGTCTTGCATGTTGCACTAACCAGTGATATCTCCAGCAGCATCCAGGTACAGTCACTGATGCATTTAGTACACAGCAAAGTGCTCAGATTGCAGTGTAACTCTTTTAATATCTGTGATTTGGTACAATTTGGGAATATTTGTTTTTGTTTCCTTTTTTTAAGAGATGAGAGAATTGGCACTTAAAAATTACAGGGATATTTTATATATCATCTGTATTATGTAAGCTGAAATTATGGGGTTTTGTTTAAGTGCAAGAAGAATAAGGAATGATGAGAAATAAATAAGAAAAGATAGCAAATGAGATTAAAGCTTCAAAGTGGTTGTGATTACTTCTGAAAATTTTAAACCACGTTGCAATTATTTCCTGCATTTGCTAATGGATAAGCAACTCTTCTTTCTACTTTTTGATTAGATGTTTGTTGTTTCTCACAGAGGGTGATGAATAAAACAGGGGGGAAAGTGTTAATACATTTGAAAATTAGAAAGAAAGACCCCTTCCCCCATAATGATTATAATAACTACTGCTACCTTTTTTTTTAATTCATTTTTTCCCAGGCCATAGTGAAAGAAGCACCACCTTTAGAAACAGAAGATACAGACAAAATTACAACAGCGATTTTCTACTCAATCAGTTTGACTCAGCAGGGACTGCAAGGTGTGGAACTTGGGACTTACCTTATCAAGCGGGTTGTAAAAGAGTTGCAGGTAAGTATGGCAGAGTGTACTTAAGATGCTGTTTGGCCATTGTGCACCCCTTACATTGGTATTCTAGTTTCCATTTGGTGTCATTGCTCAAGGCAAGGAGCTGCTAGGTTTTTCCCTACTTTTTCCTACACCCCTTTTCCTTCCCTGACCAGATCAGCCTTTGAAGATGTGTAAAGCATTGGAAGGACATTTTCTGCTACTGGTTAATGTCTGCCAAATGTAGATACTGTTACATAGTTGACATGTACTGTGTGAATTACTTGTGTTTGCCTCATCACGTGCATAGGTTGCCTAAAAGTCAGGTTTGTATATTTCTATTGAAAGTAGCTTTAATATAGCTGTATTTTGTAATGTAGTGTATTATATGCTTCACTACTGTCTCTCAGTTGAGTTGGTGGAGCCTGCTAACAGGCTCCCTTCCAGGACCCCAATCAACCTCAGTTTCCAAAATCTACTTTCTGTACATTAAGTAATTCGTTTTCTTGTTTGTTATATTGAGTTGCCACCAGTTATGTGTGCAGGTTGCATATTGCCTTGCATATACGTATTTAAAAAAAAAAGGAGAGAGATTTCTTTGCCCAGGCATTTCTTGCAGTATAGTAAAGAAGATGTCTTTGACATTTGAAAGTCACAGGAATCAGTTACTTTATGCAATGAGTTCTATGAATTTGTGTAGTATCATTGGATGCTATGAGGTTATTGTTATTAGTTTTAGGACTTCTTGTAGAACCTTCTTCAAAGCAACTGGAGAACGAAAATGCATTAATTTATATACAGGGTGGTGTGAAAGAGACAGTCACATTTCTCTGTTGAGTACATTATTTTATTTAATAGTCTTTACTACTTCAATTATTAACAAAGCTACCGCTTAAAGGTAATGATCACTACTTTTGTTTATGTTCACTGTTCCAACATCTGGATTAGTAATGATGTCTGGAAGATTGTCTGTGATTAAGAACTTCACTTCTACTCACAAAAATAACTTTAAATTGGATGCACTGAATTTCTACTACTACAAAATGATTGATTAGTCAACTACTGAATCATAGCTGACTGCCCTGAAGTTTTTTATTTTATTTTATTTTTAATGGATATTTTGGCTGAATTTTGTTGCTTCTTGCTTTTAGAATGGCTTTTAGATTAATTGTCTGAAGTGCAGTAGTGCAGGTATAATTAGGCCATGCCATCTGTCTGATCTTGACTGAGGGGAAATTGGAATAAATTCATTCAGTTGTCTGTTTTCACATCTGAAAAATAATTTCTGGATAATTGATTTGCTGTCATAAAATAACCCTATTGACAACGTATTTGTCCATCACTAATTGCTTACAACACAAGAAAAGTTATGAATGACTTATAAAGTAGACATACCATACTTAGATAATCTACATGCAAGTTCTAAAATTTCACGTCTAACAGAAGAATGTGTTCCTTATCTATTCTTACGACAAAGTTTCTGCATTTCAGTGCTGTAAAATCCAGTCCTTCTTCAGTGTTCATCAAACACACAATGAATAGGAAATACTTTGGCTGAAGTGCCTTTAAATACATTCTAATAATAAAATTATCGCCTCAAGCTTAAATAACTTAATATGGAAGCTAAGTGCTTTCCATACAATGCCAGAGGTGCAGGTTTTATTCCCTACTTAAATTTCATACGCTGCTCTTTAAGATGTTATGAAAAATGTGCTGTTATTAGTAAGGTTTTATATGGCAAATTGAACATGCACTTAGTTGACTATGAAGTTGTAGCAAAACTCAAACTGCCTGTTTATATTTCTTCTATATCTATATATTAAAGGTACAACAACCTCCATGTATTGCCTCTACACCATTCCTTTTCTTGATGATAAACCTTGTTCGGGTACCACTGTAGGGCTAAAAAAGATGAGAGGAAGTGTTTCTCCCTGATGGATGTGGTTCTCTAATAGTTTTCATCCACTCTTTGATGATGTTAGTATTTTTTTCTTTTCTCTTCTTCCCACTCCTTCACGCTTGCTTCCTCTTCATTCCAAAGTATAGTTACTGAATTTGTTGTCTTGAATTCTGCAAGAACCATCTGCCATTACATATTTTACATCTGTGAAGTGACCTTAAATCATCACACTGTCATTATCAGAAGTATTTGATGCACTTCGATAATGCCTACTCGTTCAGCTTTTGTTATAAATGTTGTGACTCCCATCTCAGTGGACTTCGCCTTTCAGTGGAGAGAAGCCCTGTGTATTTCAGCTTCAAAATACTTACACTGTGAAATTTCTACAAAGTTATATTGTTCGGGTCAAAGGCAGGGCATGTGATAAGTAATACTCTTGGCAGCCTATTGTACCTGTCTCCCAAAATTCTGGAAGTCCTACTTAAGTGCATTAATTGCACACATATGTTCTCTTTCTCTCTGGTCAGGTGTAAGCACAGGACTTTTTCCAAGGTCATCTGTGTTCATGTTGGACGTAATTCTTTGGAGCTGCATTAGAGGCACTTTAAAAGGGACAAGTGGTATAGCGGTAGTGCTGAGTTGACTTGGTGACAACAGCTGAAACAATATAGCCTCAGCAAAAAAATCTCAGGTCAAAAATTACATCTCATTAAGGAAGCTTCCGTCAGCCTTTGTAAAAATAGATAGTTGAGGTCTCTGATAGGAAGAGGTTTTTTTATATAACCTTTGCATGGTTTTGCAATAAACAAATCTTTATTTAAAGTGCTGCTAAATCACCAAGCGTTCCAGGTTACGTAAGTTGAGATTCTCTTTAATTTAACTGATAATAAAATGCTTTTGGAAGAGGAGACCATTTGAAGGGGTTGAGGATTTTCTTTTTCATTTTATTTGAATCATTGATGATTAATACACTTTCATAACTTGCCATTTGTTTGAGTTAACTTTTGTGGACATCTGTTTGATCTGCAGAATGTTATTTGATTCATATTTTCCCAAGGCACTGCAAACTCTTAAAACTTTTTTATCCTCTAGTAAAAATCCTTTATCTGACTTTGCCTTAACTTAACCTGCTCTGACACTTCTACTTGTAAGTGCCATTCTAACCTCAAAACTGACTTCTCAGCTGTCATTCTTCATAAGGAAAACTCCAAATTGGACCTGTCGTGAATGCTTATCATTAGATAAGAAAAAGACATGCACTAAGTTA